CCCAATCTATTCTATGATTCTATGATTAGCAAAATTGGTGTGTCTTCTTCAGATGAGACAGTCCCTACTATTTCTGCCCTAGCATACCTCTATAGGGTAGTGTCAGTGCTGCACAAATAAGTTCTAGCAACACTTCTTAAGTGATTCTGTCACTTTTAACACTATCAGTGCTGACCACAGTTTTGAATTCTGCTGCCAAGAGATGGTAAACTCGTTTTTCCTGCTGCTTGAATTCTGCATCTCTCTACTTACTTCAACTCTGGGTGCCTCTGCAGAAATGAAGAATTAGGTTTCATGCTGCTGTCAGGCCGTGCAGGGTGTCTGCTCCAGTCCCTCCTGTGACAGTTAAGAGACCCACATGAACTGAGAAAGAAAAGGGGATTTGTATTGCCAAAAAAAAAAGTATTTATCTGAGGTGGTTCATGTACTGCTCTCTCTTCACACAAGGTGTGGCAATAGTGTGTGCTGATTTATCTTAACAAGATTAATGATTTATTATAAAATTATTGTCCTGTCCATACATGCAAAAACATCTAGATACTTGAACTGACTGAAATTCCAGCTGTCAGGCCCATCAGAGAGTAAGCTTCATTGATATCCTGTAGTTGCTCTATACTGCTAAAGTGTTTCAGTATGGCTGTTCTTGCTGGTGTTGGGCATAATCATGATAATTTGAAGATGCTGAAAATGTGATTAAAGGTATGTAAATAAATGGGTTTTTCATTTCAGCACCGGCCGTATTGCGGCTGTGCCTCTCAGTGCAGCTGTTGATGGATTTAAGTCACATTTGGTCTTCAAAGAGATTGAAAAGAAGCTCCAAGAGGTATTTGACTACTTCTATTACCTGAAACAGAATTTTAATTTATGACATGACTTGTGAAACCTGGTGGGAGTATAGAAGCATGAATCACTGCTTCAGTATTGCTCATTGAAACAAATGTTACAGCTTTGAATTTTGCTGTGTCAGAAATCTTTCTATGCTGTGCTGTGATTTTAGATTTTTTTTTTTTGTTTGTTTTTTCAGACAGTTCCTATCTGTATAAGGGTATTTCAGTAAAGGCAAGTTTAGATTGTATGTGAGAAGCTTGCTAACTAACACAAGAAATTTTTAAGTTTGTGTTTGGTTTTTGTTGCTTGCTTTGTAAGTGTGATTAGAAGAAATCATCACATTTTATCAGACTTAACATCAAGACAAGAATCTTGGGACAGTGGTCATTTTTCTTAGTTGATATATTTTAATAGACATAGTCATAGTTGTGGTTTTGGTTGGGTTTTTTATTTGTTTGTTTTTTAAATGGTTGCTTAAGTGAAGGCTACTAGAGGCAATTAGATATTTCAGTGTTAATAGAAAGGGTTAAGGTTTTAAAATTACTTTCTGTTTAATTCAAAATATTTTTAAATTATTTTGAAGTAAATAATAATTTGCATGTTACATGTCCTTTACAGGAAGGAGAGCAATTTGTCAAGAAAATTGGTGGAGTCTTTGCCTTCAAAATAAAAGATGGTCCTGATGGGAAGGAAGCAACTTGGGTAGTAGATGTGAAAAATGGTAAAGGCTCTGTGGCAGTTAATTCAGGTCAGTGATATTTTATTATGTCATTGCAGAAAACATGTAACTAATCAAAATAATATAGATTCATATTCTGTTTAAGCTATAGTGACCTTGAGCAAAAGTGGTGTAGAGCTACCTTAATTTTAAACTTTACTTGTTACTGGCACTTTTAATCCATGATGTTTTGGACCAAGAATTAAACATCTCCTCTGAATTCTCTCTGGATAATTGCATGTTTTGTTAGAGGCTCCAGGCAGATCTGTCGTATGACTTTTACAGGAATCAGAATTTTAAAATAAATAAATAAATAAAAAATTCAAACCTCAGGGGTTTTGTTGTTCTCACCTCTTAAAATATGGGCCAGAAATATAATTTGTAGCTGTTTCTTCAGTGGCTTTGTTGGAGACACTGGTAGGCGGTAAGCTGGTCTATCTTGTCAAGTTACTTCTCTGCAGCTAGTTAAGCAATAAACCATGACTTATTTCAATACTGTCCCAGCTGACATCAACTTCAAGTTCCATTTTAAAAAAGGCAGACATAAATAGGACACAGACTGTGTGGTGGTGAGGAACCCCATACAAGTATTGGAAACAATGGATTTGTACCCTTACAGTGAAAATGTCTTGTCTTGTATCTGAAGCCATGCATCCTAGTAATGTAAATAAAAAGCCAAGACCACAGTCTGTCCTCAGAATCTCATGTGAACATGCATCTCCATGAACATGCATCATAAAGCTTTTAATTAAAAAAATGACAGGGGATTTGATTTAGATTTCATTGATCTAAGTTATTACTAAAATAAAAGCATTGTTTTCTGTCGCATGGACACTTTATCAAAGAGTTAAGTTTAGTAATAAGATGAGTGTAGGAAAAGATGTGTGCAGTTTTTAGCCCCTTTGGTATATACATGAATATTTCTATTAGAGATTATTAAAATAATATCCCAGCTTATTTCTGGTAAGAAAAACCTAAAAACTTCTGGATTTGAGTTAATTCAAATATGTGCTTTTAGAATGCACATGTTGTTCCCATTGAAGGAAAGGACAGGAAATGCCTGAAATTTCAGTGATGAGTATCTTCAGAGAGTGTTGCAGGGGAGAACACATTTATTCTGAGTTGATCTTAATACTAGCAAATTTAAGCTTGATAAAACTTGAGATGATTGTCAGTGCTTGCAATTAACATTCTATGTGATTACAAGTAGATTTTGTTTCTTTTCAAGGAACGGGTTTGCTTAGCACCTTTCGGAAAGGTCCATCTTTCTTCAGTGTTGGGATGGTCTGTGCTACAAGCTGGCACAGAAGCCTGTTGGCTATTGGATGATCTCTTGCTAATATTTTTAGAATGGCCCTTATTTGTATGCACATCAGGTAACATTTTGCTAACCTGTAGTATCCACAGATTCTTCATGGAGTTGCAGCTTCTATTACTGTTTCATCTCAGTTTGAATCGTCATAGTTGACTCTTATCTTACAGATAAGAAGGCGGATTGTACGATTACCATGGCTGACGCTGATCTGTTAGCTCTGATGACTGGGAAAATGAATCCTCAGACAGTAAGTAGAACAAAGATGGGTTGATAAGAGGACTGACTTGTTTGTTTGTTTTGAATGTGTTTAAGTTGAAAACGTTTAAATAAATCCCCTCCTCCAGCACTGCCATGGTTGGTCTGAAAAATGACAAGTCTGAACAAATTGTCTTAAAGTAAGATTAATCAAGCAAGACAGTATCTACTCTTCTGAACAGGTACATATTATCTCAGATATCCTGTGGGCAATCCAGAAGGGGATATAATAGTGCTTGGTTTGCAGAGAAGAGGGGAAAACTGTGTTTGCAGTATGACTTAAGAAAGGAGGAGTGTTGGCCCTCTATTTGGAGGGCTTTACGCCTACAGCTGGCATTAGCATAAGGACTAATCTTGATGCTAAAAAGTGGAAATTGAGGTAAGCATCCACTGAATTCCTACAATTATTTGGGGTTTTTTTATTCCTCAGTGTGTCTGAAGCAGACACACTGCTGTACACTTGGTGTACAAGTAAACCAGACGTTTAAGTGAATTTTAAGTTGCTGTTCCATACTTCTAAACTGTAAATGCTTTGGGTAACATTCTTTTAAGTTCTTGGTAATCACAGGGTAAATAAGAATTTTCACAAACTAAAGTGTGTCTAGGAGAAGTTTGAAGGTAAAACACATTTAAGAAATGTAATGTACATAGAGGAAATTCAGAAGTAATTACAACTTTATATCTACAGTTTGGATATTTCAGTGCAAGCAGTACATCTTTTTGCAAGGTCCAGAGGAAAAAACACAGATCTTTAGTGTGTCTGCTGCACAAACTAGATTTGTAAAACTGAAATAATCAGGTTTTTTATTCCTCAGTGTGTCTAAAGCAGACATAGTGTACAAGTAAACCAGACATTTAAGTGAATTTTAAGTTGCTGTTCCATACTTCTAAATTGTAAATGCTTTGGGTAACATTCTTCTAAGGATTTGAGTAAGAAAACAGTTGTGGCATCTACTGTACACTATTGCTTTATTGTCTTCAGTTGAAATAGGGAAATTCTATTCTATGAACTGTCATCACCGAAACATTGAGTGTTCTGCCCTACTTTGTATACAGATCCATCATTATGATAATGCAAGAAACATGCAATACCAAGTTTATTCTCCTTGGGTATCACAAATACCATAAGCATACAACTTCCTCAGTTTACTATTCTACCTTTTTGTGTCAGAAAATACATTTGTTGTTGAATGTGAGATGTCTGCTAGAACTGCTGGAATTCTAAAACTGCAGGCCAGGACCTTTACGTACATAATAGTCCATAACTTTTGGGAGGAGTGCATTCGGGGTAATATGTTGTATTGTGTTTCATATAATCTTTCTTTCTTTTTAGGCATTCTTTCAAGGCAAATTGAAGGTTTCTGGGAACATGGGCATGGCAATGAAACTTCAGAATCTACAACTTCAGCCAGGCAAAGCTAAACTTTGAGCTCATTAGTGTAAAAAGTCAGTACTTGATATTCTTGACAAAAAAGTAGAATGAAACTAGATGTTATCAATAATATGGCGCAGACTTGGTTTGATTGGACCTCTCTCACCTAAATTTTGTGGTTAGAGACCTTAATTCTCTTAATAAATTCCATCAGTTTGTCTATGGCAAAGATTTTTAGGCTAAGCTTGAGGCACTAGCTCTTAAAAATGGTATATGAGGGTTGTTTGTGACAATTTTTGTTTTAATCAGTATGAAAAATTTTATAAAACTTAATGTTGAATGAAGCTGCTTATCAGATTAGTTGGGAAGAGAGTGAAGAAGCTTATAAATAGTTTGACATATCAGTTAAATAAATTGCATTTTTTTAAAAAGCTGTAATAGCAGGTCCTACAAATGCATTCAGGCTTCCATTCTAACAAATTTGCTGCTGATACATGAAAATGGTCTTACAAAGAGGATCTCTAACAACATTTTTTTAGAATAGACTTTAGGAATTTGCTATAAAATACTTTTCTTATTACTACTTTGGAATTGAAAAATAAACAAAATATCCAGAAGTAAGTAGGAACTGGAACATTGCTTTGAGATTTACAGGATTTCATAATACTTCACCTTGAAAAAAGATTAGGTTTGCTGGGAGAGCAGAGAGGGAGTATAACCAATATTTTACCTGTTTTCGCCTGAGAAAGTCTGGGTGTTGCTTATTATGAAATTCTTATCAGTAATGTAAAAGCTTTAACTTCTGTTTTGGGAAAATGTTTTCTGGTTGGAAATTTAATAGAAAATTAAATATACTTTTCCTGTTCTTCTGTGTGTTACTTCTTTGGATTTATAAACATGGATTTCATGTTAATGCTCTGAATTGACTATTTTGTACAGATTGTCATGAAGGGCTCCTGCAGTCCATCCATTTTTTCCTTCTCGGGCATTGTCAGTAGATACTCCATAAACTACATCTCAGTCCAGTGTATACAGCACATTCTTACATGTGGGCCATGATTGAGAAACTTCCACATGAACTTTCACTTCCCTGGTTTAACTAAAATCATAATAAAAATGAGCTAATTGGAGCCAACCATTCTACTTATCTGGTGTGGATGTTTAGCAGATTGCTGAGCAGTGAGAAGAGCTGCACTGAATCAGACCAAAAATTGATCTAGCCTATTGTATTTTCTGACCATTGATACCTCGGGAAGAGTATTAAGATGGCACAAACATCTGTTTACACAGAATACTTTCCTAGCTGTCAGTTATTTTATTTTTTTTTTTTTATTCCAGCTCACAGATTTGAGCCAGAAGTGATATGTCTGGATTCGAAGTTCTCAGTGGATAGTCTTTCATGAGTTTGTCCAGTCCCTTTTTGAATCCTTGACAGCTTTTTAGCATGGGTCAAGAATTTCTATAGCTTACCTATACATCATGTGGAATTAAATTTATTCCTTTTTATCTTATACATTGCATTTTTATTTTATACTTCTCAGTTGCTTTTTTTGGTTGTGGTGGGTTTTTTGTTTGTTTAGTTGGTTGTTTTTTTTAACTGGAAGAAACAGTGAACAGCTTTGAAGCATCCTGGTATTTGTAGTCTTGCCCTCACCTTCAGGCTGTACAGCTTAAAGAAGAGGACATTCTGTTTAACTGTGTCACATGGAGAGGCCCTTGTAACCTTTTATCCATCCATGGATCCCTGTCTGCTGCATTCCAATTGTCCTGTGTTAAAAAGCTTTCAAGATACAAGAGCATTTTCTGCTTCTATTTTTCTTTCCCCAGTTGCTTTTCTGACCGCTGCTAGTTTTGAGCTGATGTTTTCTTAATTTTCTTTTTTTCTGGGAGGGAGGAGTGTGCGTGTGGTCTTTTCTAAAAATCCTAGATCTCCCATTTACATTCTGCAGTCTTAGAATCTGATGGCTTTGAATAAATAAATTCCACAGTGGACAGAAATCATTTACTCTGTTCATCATAAGGAAGTAGGCAAAGCTCTGTCATACAGAGCAGATTGTGACGTTATCTTTTAGTTCCGTTAACTTTAGATCTGCCTCCTGAAGCTTCTGTGTTACTGCAATTTTATTATGTTAACTTGATTCTTTGAGTGCAGAATTAGAAAGGTAGCTAGTGATATCAAGAGGTGGCTAGTCTGAACATAGCAAAGTTTAAATCATTGGTTTCAAAGGCCTTGCATAAAGAAAAAAAACCCCAACATACTAATGCTCTAGGCAGAGGGTTTAGTGTTCTCAGACTCCCAGTTCACTTAAGAGGAAATTTCAGCTTTAGATGTTAAAATGCTCGGGAGTGTTGTTCTTCCTTCATGGACTCTGGTGAATATCCTTTGCAGCTCTTGAGGGTTTTTTACCAGCTGTCATAAATGTGTTAATCATTTGACAGCCAGAAATGCTGTCAGTTTGGCAGATTTATCTTCTCTTTACTTTCTTTTTTAAAATTAATGTAATTCTTTTGGATACAAATTTTCGTAATAAATAAAAAAATAAAACATGTTTCATTGCTGTAAAAGAAGCAAATAGATTTCTCAGAGTTGGAGCTAGTGAGCAGAGTGATGCCTGACTCAGCAGATCTGGCTTACAGGAATTCAAGTGAATGCTTTGGTTTTTGGAGCACAGATTTTTATTTTTAAACTTTTACTTGAGTTTTGTGTTTCAGTGCTGCTGCTGCTTTGCCTAGTCAGAAATAGGTACAGTGGAATACGTTACACGCTTTATCCCCTGTGCTTTTCTTACAAGTAATTTGAATCATTAGAAGAAAAGCTGATAGTCAGAATGTGGCATCTTTCCTTAAGAAAATGTGCTAGTTCAAGAAATCTCAGTTCCTATATTGATCAGGGTAATAAATAGGAGTTTGTTATGAAATTTTGAATTTGGGATAGTTGCAAGAGAGCTCTCTGTGTGGATAAATGAGGGGATATCCATGGGCAGATGAGGCAGCCTAGGGGGAGGCAGTTACTGCAGCTGTGTGTTGTTGTTTTGGGTTGACCTTACCTCTGGAATAACTTCATGAGGGTGTGTGACACAGAGTGCCTGGTACAGGTGTTCATAACTGCAAGGTTAGGAGGGAAGTAGAGAATCTGACAGGTGGCTCATGGTGGCTTTATTTGTGTAAAGCAAGCCCTCCTAGTGTCAGGTAATCTGGGGTCCCTTTGGTAAGCAGCAGAGAGAGATTGGTTTGCTCAGGTGAGGAGGCTGTGAACAGCTGAGCCTGGTGGCAGCTGGGTTAAGGGGCGGTTCTTTTGGGTGATAGATCATTTCAGGATGTGGGAGGATGGGACAAAGGGGCTTGACTGCATCATCCCTCTCACAATAGAAGAAAACTCAAATGATCACAAGGCTGGATTTGTCCATTTCCCACATGTCCAATTCATCTGAGGTCAGTTTAAACTGTTACCTCCTTGGAACGGGAACTGCATCACTTCCTGTTTTACAGAGCGCTGAGCTGGTTGTCAGCTCTCGTTAAACAGAAAAGAAGAAGAATGCAATTAGCCTAGTGGATAAAAGGCAGGAAAAAGTCTCTTAACTATGAAAAATCAACACTTGAGGAGGCAAACCACATGTGGAGAACAAATGATGGAAAAAACCACAACTGTTTGGAACAAATTCTTTCATTACTTAAATAAACAGCAGCATAATTTGTTGGAGTGACAGTGTGGTGAACTGATCCGTACCCTGTATCTGAAAGAAGAATTCATTGCTAACTTAAAAGCCGATGGCTTTATATGGCCCTGGATGGATTTTCTGGGAAATATTAGTTATATACTGAGATACAGGAACAGAAATATCCTAATAATGCTGCAGCAGGCTAAAAGGAACATGGATAGTATAAAATAAGTACAAAATGTGCTATGTCTGTATCCCATATTTCAGGTAGATTAAAAATAGTCATGGATTTTTAATTTTATTTTTTTTTTAAACAGTACATGTCCCCTGGGAGAACAGACATCTTAAAGTTCATTTGGATCAACACACAGACGCCAATAGGCTCATGGCCAGGCTCTGTTGTGCATACTTAGGTTTGAAAAATACTTCCCTTCCTGCTTTGGAGACAAAAACCCCTTTTACTCTTTGTGTTTTGATTATTCATTTTTTGAAGCAAATGACAGCAAGTTACTTAAAAGAATTTTAATGGGCTTTTTTCTCTCTTTTCAAATAAAGGCACAGT